TCTGGGCGGTACCCACGGGGCGGGGCGGGCGGCTGCGGGCCGAGCCCGCCCGGGTGCAGTCGCCGCTCCGCGCCACGCCGCCGCGCAGTCCCCGCGCCGCTCCGTGGGCCGCCGGAGCCGCACGTCGGGCCGCCCTCCTCTTCCTCCCTACCGCCGCCGCCTCTCGCTATGAATGCACGCCGGGCCCTGCTCTCCGCCGCCTTGCTCGCCAGCCTCCTCTGGGATTTACCTTGCTGCCTCCCGGCTTCCCTCCCTGCCTCCTCGGAGCTCGCCGCCTCCTCCAAAGGTGGTCGCAGCCGCAGAGTGCCGCGGTCCCCACGGGAAAACCGCCCGCGGCAAGGGGGACACGCCATGGACCGGGCGCTCCCACGGGCGGAACCCCACGAGTACATGCTGTCTCTGTTCAGGACTTACTCTATCGCGGAGAAACTGGGCATCAACGCCAGCTTTTTTCAGTCGTCCAAATCCGCCAACACCATCACTAGTTTTGTAGACAGGGGACGAGGTAAGTTCTGCCCCCCCACGTCCCTCACGGTCCCCCCGGGGCTGCGGGTGCCCCTTCCCCGGCACGGGGCTGCCGTCCCGCGGAGCCTGGTGCTGGGGAGGTGGGCAGCGGCCACCGGTGCTGTTCCCCGCCCCGGTATCGCAGGCAAGTGCAGATGTCTCGGTAAATTGGGAGTCGCGTTGTTTTATTTTAAAGCAAACGGCCCCGCGGCACTAAACCCGACTCGAGACTGCCCGAAGTGCTGCGTGCGAGAAACACGAGTGTTCCTCCCCGAATCGTCATGGGGTGGTGGAAAACACGCCCCAGCTTTGCAGGCGGAATTTGGGTGTAAATTCAACCTTGAAAAAAAAAAATTAAATATCGCTCTTCTGGTTTCTTTCCGCCCGCCGGAGAAAGGGTGGCTCTTATCGATGCGGCTGCACGGCGAAAAGAAAGTTTAAACTGACCGAGGGCAAACATCTTCTGCCTGAGTCTGCTCTCGCCTCGGTTCGCGTTATCGGGGTTACCTGGAAGAGCCCCGGCCCCTTCCGAGAGCGCTGGGGCTGGGACCCTGTGGCTCCCCTTGCGGGGGGGCAGCGTGCAGCCCAGGTACCGCCCGGTACCGGGACTCAGCGAGGGGCGGCCGGACTTGACGTCTGCTCCGGGGCCGCATCCTTTGAGATGTGTGCGGGGTTGGTCCTCACGCTCCCCCGGGCCAGGATTGGCAGCGGGGCAGAGCTTCCCGGGAAGCATCGGTGCCGCGGGGCTCCCGGGCCCCCTCCGTGACCTGCAGCCCCGGCCGGAGCCCTCCTGGGCTTTTCTCTCGTGGTCGTATCGCTCGTACCCGGGGCCGCGGGTGCGCATTTCTCGTCGATCCAGAGTAAAATTTCCCTTCCATAAAAACGCCCCCCTGCCCCTTTCATTCCCCCTCCCTTTTTTCGTTACCCTGGTTGTGAGCCATTAAGAACAGACTAATTAACAGGTTCTTAATGAAGGTTGCACTTTCGTTCCTCCCCTTCTCCCACATCTGAAGACCCTCCCTCCGTCCGCGCCTCCTCGGGCACTGGTGTACCTGCCGGTGGCTGGCAGCACCGGGAGCCGGGGCAGCTCGCCGCCCTCCCGCCGTGTCCCAGCCGTTTTAGGGCAAAATACAGCGCCGGGAAAAATCACACGGCTCCCTGGAGCCGCAGAAGCCGATCGCCCCAGATCAAATCGAACCGAACCCAAACTGACCCCCTTCACCGCCTCCCCGAGCCGGAGGCTTCTCCCCGCCCACGGCGCCCAAGGCTCAGCCCCTTGCCCCATTGCCACCCCGGGCTCGGGGGAGTTCTTTCTGCGGAGGGAGCTCTGCGCCTGCCGGCTCTGTGCCCATCGCGCCTCTCTGGGCTCGGGAGGACGCGTGGAAGCGCCCACAGTGTGTGCCCCTCGCGGTCGGAAGCCCGCAGACGTTGTCGAGGGGAAAGGGGACAAGGGGTTTTGCTCTCCGCCTTCGCCTTGTGGGGGTTGTTTTCTTCGTCGCTGTTAAAAGCGGGGATGGGGGGAAGAGGACCCGCTTTCTAGAAATACGGTTTTGAAAATTCTGCCGTCAGAAAGGAGCTGGACCGCTCCCCCTGACGGAGAGGAAACGGGGTGCTAATTCTGCGAGCCGCAGGAAATGGAGCCGCGCTCGATATCATCTTATTCTTGATAACCAGAAGACAGACAGTTAATTTAACAAATTTAGCTCATCTCGCTGCATGTGAGATTCTACTACGGGGGAAGTGATTTGCTAACAGAAGTCCTGGTTTGACTAAGCAAAAGCCTCACTTTTCCCCATTGATTTTGATTTGATGTGTCACAGGCTGTGACCTTCTGCTGGACCTTCTGAGGGTTGCTTAGCATCAAGCCACTGATTGGAGTATTTCAACTCAGTGATCTAATTGAGTGTTCATGTCATAACATATCAAATATTGTCTAGTCTCCCATAATGAAGTGGACCAGCCGATGGCACATCACCAAAAAACTTCAAGAGAGCTTCCGTTCCTCTGAAGTGGTAGCTATTTTACTGCCCACCTCCCCGTGGGCTCCTAGCCCAGTTAATTGGCGAGCTGGAGTTGTGCTGATGATGAACAGTCTTTGCTCAGGGAAAGCGGGGAAGGGGGGCCAGATTTTCTGTCACTTCATTTGCAGACAGTATAGCCGCCCAAATTGACCCAATTAGATGGGCTGCTCTTTACCTAAGCGGCAGCTCCACGGGAGATATGACGGTGGCAGTCCCACCTGCCGCACGCCATCGTGCATGGCAGCATTTCGGGGGGACAGGAGTCCGCAGAGGAGCGCGAAGCAGCTTTCAGTCCTGCCGAGAAATACCCTTTCCCGTACGAGGCGGGCTGTGCCTGCGTGTCCCGAGAGCGTCCGGCGGGGCCGCTCGGCGCTCGGCTCTGACCGGCAGCAGCTCCCGGCCGCAGCAGTCCCGGGCCCGCCCGTCCCACCGCCCTCCGGGGCTGCGGGGCAGAGCGCTTCGGTGCAGACACCGACAGCCGCTTCCCTTTGCTTCGCTTCTTCCCTTCCCGCTTGAAGCTAATAAGATCGTTTTCAGGGTAGCGCGAGAGGAAGTGAAGACTCACTACTGCTTAATACATACATAATTTTCTCCCCCGTCGGTAGAAAAAGAGAGGAGAAAGAGGGGAAAGGGCTTGCGATTCCCTCTTCTCCACCCCCTACCGCCCCCCACTCGCTCCCCCTTGTTACGGTCGCAAGATCAGACAGGACCTAGCTGAATGTAGGAAAATTACTGTTGGCACATGAAGTAACTCATTAAAACGCAGATGGTGCTCTCACTGGCCTCAGGACCCCCAGCATTGGAGCTCCACAGTAAGGCAGGACAATTAGGAGCTGCAAGGACTCCACCAGGCAGGGGAAGGGAAAAAAAAAAAAAAAAAAAAAAAAGAAAAAAAAAAGGAGAGAGCGGGAGAGAGCTGGAGAAGGGAGTTATAAACAAGCAATCCCACAGCTAGCAAGAAAGCGGCATGACTGGGAACAAATCGAAAACAAAAAAGAAATAGCTGGAGTGCGAAGGAGCACGATTTTTGAAAGGATCTCCGTGGGAAGGGTTTGCCATGAGGGCCGCTGCTCCGAGTGCCCCTCGCCTCACCCTTTTGTGTCTGCAGAGCCCACAGCACCGGCACCAAGGCAGGGCTCCCGCATACGAAATGCTGCGGTCCGCGCCTAAGGGACGGGGACATCGAAATAGGTCAAGATCGTCTCCTTTTTCCCTCCCCGTTTTCTTTATGTAGTTTCGCGTTCCAGTTGGGAGGCAGCTGATTCAGATGGGCAGGGATCCGAATATCGTTATTTTGCTCTTGCCATGAGGGTTGTGAGGGCGATGAATAGACGGCTAGGAAGAAAGGGGGATCCCGTGTGCAGAAACTGAAAATGGCCCGGCTGTGCATGTGGCAGAAGAAAAGAGTGTGAATCTCACTTGGAGTTCATCTAGTACAACATATTTATGCAAAACAGCGGGTTTCTGGGTGGACCGAAAGCTGCAATGTAGTGTAATCTGTGCAGCGCCTTTGCCCAAGCAATGTTGTCGTTGGCAGAAGGAAAATGAAATATAAACAGGGAAGTATTTTAATGGGAAAGGAGGGAATTCACAACTGTTAATTATTTGGTGACCTTGTATTCGATTTGTTTGAGCCCCTTATAAAAACACTAATGCAGACCAGACGGCCGAAGCGCAGCAGCGAGCTGCCGCTCCTCATCCCCGCCGTGCACCCGGGAGAGGAGCGAGCGGCCCGGCCCGGCCCGGCCCGGCGGGGCCTCCGCGCGCGCGGAGCCGGTGTCGCGGGGGCGGGCGGGGCGCGGCGGGGGCTCCGCGCTGCCGGTGCCGGTGCCGGGAGGTGTTTCGGGGTTGGTGTTTGGCTCCCCGCGCCGCGGGAGCTGCGGGAGGGAGCGGAGCGCGGGGCCGGGGCGCAGGCGGAGCGCAGCGCAGCGTCCCCTCGGCGGCTGCGGCTGTGCCTCTCGCCGCTTCCCAGTGAAAATGGGGCCGTCGGCGGGGGGGGGTATTTTTTAGTTTATCTTTCGTTTGTTTGTTGTCCCTGGAGAAGGCGTGGGGGCTCGCGCACGGGAGGGCGGTCCGGGGAAGCGGCGCCGGGCGCTCCGCAGATCAGGCAGCTCGGCGGGGCGGTGCCCGGCCGCGGAGCCGCTCTGCTAACAGGACGAGTAATTAACGCCTATCACCTATTCCGGTGGCTCATTTCGGACCTGATCCTGATTTTTTTCGTTATTATTTTTTTTTCTTTTTAATCCAGAAACCCTCCTGCGTGGCTTGCTAAGAGGTTGCAAATTTTTTAGTTTGTTTGCTTTTTTTTTTTTTTTTTTTTTTGGGGGGCGGGAACGTGGGTGACGGAGGTCCGAGGTCTCCGCCTCGGAGCTATGGAGTTTCCGCCGCCCGCGGGGAGATGCTGTGCCGCAGCTGGGCTGGCCCCAACCGGCAGCCGAGTGGCCCGCGGGGAGAAAATCCGGCGCAGGCCAGGGCCACTCGGTGCTGGGCACGGCAGTGGGGCGCCTCGCCCTCCTCATTTACCTCCTTCCTTCATAGTAGGAAAAAAACCCAAAACGGTCGACGATCCTTTTTTCCGAAAGGAGGGAAAACCCTCCATTCCTTGGGATTTCGGGGCAGGCTGAAACTGAGGGTAGGCATCCTCTCGTGCCTGAAGTCTGATTTATGAGCGAAAGGGGATGTTTCAATCTTTGCTAGTTATGGCCAGATCTGTATGTTCTGTTGCTGTATCTTAACGCTTCCACATTTATCGCTCAGTAATATTTTCGCTTCATTTCTTAGCTCCAAGCGCTGGGAATATTCAGGTCGATTTTCTCAACACGAATAATTACGCAGCAATTATTTCTCCTCCGTCGAAGTGTTTCGGGTAGCGTAAGCACCGCAAATGGGGAAAGGGAAAGATACTGGGTTAAGGTCTGTTACAGCAGGTAGAAACCCCGCAAGGAAGCTCCCGTCCGCCTCGGCGCATCTCCTGGGACGATGCCGGCAGCCGAGGGCCCGGAGCCTTGCGGGACGTGTCCCTCGGGTGTTGCAGCGATCCCTCTATGCCCGAGGGCCGGGAGTCGCTTGTGGCAAGCGGGGAGACGGCGGCGAGCGGGAGAGCGGGCACGGGCAGGCAGCCTTTCCGGAGCAGGTACGGTACAGCGGTGATCAAAGGTACATCACAGCCAGGTGCCTCCCCGCTCCGAGGAGGAAGAAAAAAAAATAAAGAAAAAAGAAACAGCCCTCCAACAACTAGTTAGTGTTTTTTGGCAGCATTGGGAATCCGTCCGAGGAAGGTGTGGTCTTTCTCGGTTACTCGATAGCAAAGCGAACGATGCATTTAAATCTAATCACTTGGTGTAATAAAAAACCGCGGCGAGGCAGGCGCTGGGAGATGTGGAATTGAAACCCGGAGAAATACCACACATGGAGAGTCAGCCCGTTGTTTCACACAGCTTGGGTAATGCTCCGAAAGAAATACCTGTCAGCTTTGCGACTCCGCAGACAACGTGTGGGCAGACCTTCGCAATTAGGGACAATATATGTTTTAATTTCCAGATTATTGTTGTGCGAGTGTCTGCAAAGTGTCTTTAAACTGAAAATGTGCTTTTGGTTTGCGAGTTTAAATATGGCTTGAAAGAGAATTTGGGAATGGGAAAATTCTTTTTGAATGTGGTTTGGGTATAATTTGCAGTGATGTAAAGTTAAGATCTGAACCCTGATGAATTGGCTGGGAGCCCAGTACCTGATCTGCCATGAAAAGGGAAACTTTGTGTAGCCTTCGTTAACCCCCGTCTCTCCTCAAAGCCCAGACTGCGGCGAGAAAGCGACCCGGGAAACGGGAGAGGCTTCACACAGGGAATTGAGGGAAAAGTCCCAACCCGGTCATTCGTTCAGCTTCGGAGATGCAGAAACCGCAGCCACCGCACGGCGAAGGAAAGCGTGGGCGAAGGCGGGCGGGGGCCCGGGGCAGCCCCCGGCCCGGCCCGGCCGCGGGAGCACCGGGCACGCCGCTGCCCGAGCGCCTCGCGGGGGGCACAGCGGAGTAGGGCTGCTCTCTCCCATCCGCCACTGGCATATTCTTAAATTTCAGATAGACCTACTTCCTCCTTCTGTCCCTCCTTCCCGCTCCTAATATTTATTTTCGCCCGAAAAAAAAAAGAATAAACTGCGGAGAGTTGAAATAGAACAAATACTTACTGCGGAGCTAACATTCATTTACATTAGCGCTACAAATACAAACACACCTCCCCTGTGCATTTTCTGCAATGTGGCTTTCCCCAGCCCAGCTGGGATGACTTTGCTGTTCGCACCAAGTATTTCGGTAACGGGAATATCTGTAAGGACAGCTTCAGCTAGCCTGAGAAAAAGGCAGATTTCCAGCTGGCTGTTAGAAACCCCGGGTTTTACCCCAGTCGCTCCTTGGATTTAAAGGAAAACTGAAGGGGACAAGCCCCTATCCGTTGTGCCCTGCTCACGGGGAGAGAGAGGGACAGTCAGGGTGTCCCCACGCCGTCTCTGCTGCCGCTCTTTGTGTGCTGGGAAGGCAGCAGCTTCGCTGGGAACAAAGGGTCCCCAACCTAGACCCGTCTCTTCCCGTTTTGTGGAGGTTCCGGAGGTCCCGCTTTCCCTCCCCGCCCTCCGCTGCTTTTCCCACCCTCTCGACTGCGCTGGGAGCGAGCCAGTACTGGTTTAGGATTATGTATTCATCTGGAATTATTAGGTTACAAGAGTGAATAAATAGCGTTTATCTGATCGGATTCAAAGCTGCTTATTTGAAACAACCGGCAGCCCTGCCCCTTTCCCTGCCCTCCCGAGAGAGGCACGGGAGCCGGCAGCTGCCTGAGCCAGTGGGACTTTTCCAGCACACTTTCGGTGCTGCTGAAACCCGTCTCAGAGATCCGCTTGAGCGGGGGCACATTTCTCTGCCAAGCGGCCGTGTCGCCAGCGTGCCATGCCACCGAGCAACTCCGACCTGCCATGCAACGCCCCAAACCCTCACCAAACTGGAGTCTCAAAAGATGCTGCTTGGGGAGCATCCCTGAGCAAGCCTTTTGGCAGCCACAGTGCCGGAGCTGGTTTCCTCCCGCACCGCCGGGTGACGAGGGTCTGCAGACCCTTTAGAGCCCATTTTGAGCAGCGGGGAAGTGCGGGCAATTCAGCCTCTCGCTGCTTCCCTCCCGTCTAAGCTGCATGCATGGATGTTACCCCCGAATGGGATTATTTCCTGCGCTGCGACAGGCCACCTGCGTGACAGTTCCTCGGGAAGGGGAGAGGCGCTGTCACCTTCGTGTCCCCTCATCCCTCGGGAAAGGGCTGCCCTTTCCCTGAAAGCTGTGGCTGCTGGGCAGTGCTGCCTTGCTCCTGCACCCCGGCAGAAATATGGGGGACGCCAGGACTTTGGTGCTGGTCAAGAACAGGACGAGGAGTGTATGTGGGGCTGTCTGCTCCGGAGGGACAGCGGCCTGGAGGCAGCACTTTCCTCACCCCCACCCCATGGCGACTGGGAGTATCAAAGAGAGCGAGCATCTCTCTCTGAAAGGAAGCGTGACACCCGCCTCTCCATCCCCTAAGCAACGAGAGCGATTAAAAGGGAATCCGTGCACAGGCTCGGCTCTGCCCACGTCCCGATGCTGGGGATAGCCGCAGAGGAAGATGCTGATCTAGTTCGCTCGGTGGTCGCTGGAGCCTTTGAACGAAGGTCTGAGGCATTTCGGCAGGGCCAGGAGATGGCTCTGCGCCCTGTCGGACGCCCGGGTATCTGACAGATGTTGGATGCAGAAAAAACCACCAAGACGACGAGAAAGAGGAGAAGGAGGAGGAGGACCTGCGCTATCTTACCCGAAGGCTCATCTGCTTTTCTCTGAAGCTCCCAGGACCCCCTTGAAGGAGGAGGCAATGATACCAGAGACCCCTGAGCTGTTGGACCCTCCTCCTGCAACCACGTGTACCTCAGCCCACAGCCCGCGCCTGCGAAGGGCAGAACTACCCCCACGCTCCCCCAAAATCCACAGGAGACTCATGGACCGAATCCTGGTCTGTACTTGCAGTGCTGATGAAACTGTCCAGCACCTCTAGGCAGCTCCCGACGGGTTTCACTTTTATTTTCACAGCTCAATAAAGCAGCTGTTGTCGTCACCTGGACTGTGACGACATTTTTCGGGCTCTGCTCGTGTTTTTTTCACTCTCCTTCCGCACTCCCTGAGCGGGATGCACAACCAGGCTGCCTCTCGCTCCTCGCTGGGAAGGAGAAGCCCCACGGCGAGAAACAGACAAGCCTGGAGTCGGAGGCGGAGGCAGGGATGCGAAAGGCCTGGTTTCAAAGTTTCCGGGATGCCTGACCGATTCCGCATCGCTCCCGCCGGCGCGCAGCCCCGGGGAGGCGGGGAAGCTCCGGCTCGGGAACTCCCTCTCCTTGCTGACTCCTCGTGCCACGGTGCCGGGCGAGGCGGGGACCGGGGCCGTGCTCCGGCCGCTGGCTCCGGGAGCCGGGCAGGTGTGCGGGGCGCTGCGGGAGCCCAGCTCCGCAGCCGGAGATGCCGCCTGGGTGCGCGGCGGGGCCGGGCGGGCGGCGGGGCCGGGGCCTCCCACGGCGGCTCCCGGCGGGGCGAGGGGGACGCGCTCGGCAGGCAGCCAGGCTCCGCAGGAGGATCCCGTGGCCTGGCTGCGGGGCAGGTCTTTTTCCCAGCAATTCCCGCTGTCCCTGCTGCACTCCACGCTCCATCTCCCTGCTGACGTCTAGGGGAACACGCAGCGACGCAGGGCGTCTGTCGAGTGTGCTAATCCGCGCTGATTAACTGCACGTTAATCCGCATTGATTTTTTACATCGCCGTGGCGCGTCTGAAGGTTTTTGCTTTGCATAAATCATCCCCTTGTCTCTCCTGCCCCGCAGGAGGTTCCCAGAGAGCTGTCAGGTAGAGCCGAGGTTGTGAAACATACTGATTAGGAATCGCAGTGACCTTTGATATCGATAAATAACAGGCGGGTGTATATTTCTCTGTTTCTACCCCTGGGGCGGGCTGATTTTGGAAAAGCGGCGAGGGGCTGCTGAACAGAGGCTCCAGTGACACTTTTACTGTAGAAATCTACACAAGCTTTACTAGCTTCTGGGGAAACACAGGGGCTTTGGGAATTTTTGTATTTGCTGGGTTGTAAACATTTTATTGGAAAGCAGCTCAAGGGAATCTGGTTTGCTTTCTGCGCTGCACTTTGTACACCGATGTGTCAAAAAAGAAGTCCAGGTTTTCCTCAGAGGAGCACAGATACGTGTATATGGGGCTGATAGGCAGAGGATGTGGTGGAGCAGGGTCTGCCTCTAGTGATGGAGAGCTGTGTCCTGTCTGGTGCGGGTTCTTTCATATTTCCTTTCCTTCCCATATTCTTCCCTTTCCATATTATTCCCTTCTCCTTCTTTCTCCTCTCCCTACCCTCCCCCGGTCCCGGTCGGGCTGGGGGTGGGGGGTGAGGCAGGCAGGAGCGGCCCGGCCGGGCAAGCCGGCAGTGCTCCCTCCCTTTCCCGCCTCAGAGACCTCTCGGCAGATCCCCCCGAGCGCAACTGACTGTAATTATTTTTATCTCGCAGACGATCTCTCGCCCGCTCCCTTGAGGCGGCAGCAGTATGTGTTTGATGTGTCGACCCTCTCGGAGACGGAGGAGCTCGTGGGGGCCGAGCTGCGGCTGTTCCGCCGGGCCCCCCAGGGCCGCCCGCCGCCCGCCGCCCCGCTGCACGTGCAGCTCTCCGCCTGCCTCTCGCCGCGACCGCTGGACTCCCGCGCCCTGGACCCGCGGGCGGCCTCGTCCGCCGGCTGGGAGGTGTTCGACGTGCGGCAGGGCCTGCGGGAGCAGCGGCCCTGGAAGCGGCTGTGCCTGGAGCTGCGGGCCTCGGCGGACCGCGGGCCGCGGCGCTGGCTCGACCTGCGGGGCCTGGGCTTCGCGCGCCGGCCGCGGCCGCCGCAGGAGCGGGCGCTGCTGGTGGTCTTCACCCGCGCCCGGCGGCGGAGCCTCCTCGGGGAGCTGCGCGCCGAGCTGGGCGCACCCCCGCCGCCCGCTGCCCGCCGCCCGCCGGCCCGGCGCCAGCGCCGCACCGCCTTCGCCAGCCGGCACGGCAAGCGGCACGGCAAGAAGTCCCGGCTGCGCTGCAGCAAGAAGCCGCTGCACGTCAACTTCAAGGAGCTGGGCTGGGACGACTGGATCATCGCCCCGCTAGAATACGAGGCCCACCACTGCGAGGGCGTCTGCGACTTCCCGCTGCGCTCCCACCTGGAGCCCACAAACCACGCCATCATCCAGACCCTCATGAACTCCATGGACCCCGGCTCCACGCCGCCCAGCTGCTGCGTCCCCACCAAACTGACCCCCATCAGCATCCTCTACATCGACGCGGGCAACAACGTGGTGTACAAGCAGTACGAGGACATGGTGGTGGAGTCCTGCGGCTGCAGGTAGCGGGCGGCTCGCCCCTCGGCGGCGGCCGGGTCTGCGTCTGGCGGAGGTGCGGCGGCAGCGGCGAGCGGGGCCCCGTCCCGCGGCCGGCCGAGCGCGGCTGGGGCGGAGGGGACGGCGGAGGGCGGGCGGGGCGCCGGGGTTCCGCGGCGCTGCCCGCGGTGCCGGCGGGGAAGGGCGAGCGGGGCGGGCAGGCGGCGAGGCCCCCGCCCGGTCCCTTTCCCGCTCCCCTCTCTTCCCCCGGGGTTTATCTGGCGATCTATCCTCCTCCCTCCAAAGGTGAAGGCAATTTACCAAGTACAAAAAGAGTCGGGGGAGGGAGAGGGAGCAGACTGATCCCTCTCTCTGAAGTTGCTCTGAAGAGGGCTGTTTCATTTCTGCCCTCTCTCTTTCACATTCCTGCAAGCTTACCAGCCAGAAATAGCCTACGGCCCCCCCCCCGTCCCCCTTCTTCCCCCTTCCCCCCCAAGGGGGAAAAAAAAGAGAAAAGGAGAAAAAAAGAAAACCGAGAGTTGCTTAAGATTGTAATTATCAGCTAGGTTTTATTTTAAGACAGCAAACTGTGAAGAGCGAAGTGTTACAGAAAGCACAACCGGGGTGGATTGGAAAGGAAACTGCTTCGGGTCCCACGAAGAGTGCAAGGATGCCATTGCCAGGTCTCTGGGTAGCTGTGTCTCGACGGCCCTCGCAATTTGCAGCAGTATTATATGCAAATGTGCTGGAAAAGGCGTTTTATGTAAGATTTCTGGTTCTTTCCCACCTTTGGTCTCAGCTCTGGTTTCACCTGAGGAAAGTGCACTTCGAAGCCATGCCTAGCCCTTTCTTAATGTAATTATTTTGTTCGTAGTTTCAGGCTTTCCCCCACCGATTTCTAGAATTGTTGGCTTATCTGGTATTGCAGAGCTACAAACTTGTGGAAAAAGATAAAAAAGAGAAGAGAATAATAATATAAAATGCTAATAAAAAGACTCGACCAGGAGCATTAATTTAAAATGCACATTTTGCTTTGGATGCACTGTTGTTCATGTAAAAGTTGTAAATATTTGTTTATTTAAACAGACTGAAAAGTGCAAAATGGAGATGGACAACATGCATTCCTTTTTTGATGTACAAAACATGATATGCACTCAAAATGTTATAATTTCTAATATTTTTAAAAGTTTATATTTGAGTTGTACAGAATTAAGCATTAATCAAATATTTCATCCTTACTTAACATTATCATTTCCTTAAGATATTATTACAAGATTTTAATTCTGTGCTAATAATGGAGAAAATAATTTTTTTTACTGTCTACCTCAATATAATGCAAGTATTTACAACTCTAAAGATATCTGAGGTAAATTAATATTCAGAACATTTTTACAATACACCTTTACTGGACGATACTACAACTATCATTGTATTATTAAACATTTTTTTTCCAAACAGTCAGCTTGCTTTTATATGTTCTATTATTTGATTAAGTAATTCTGAGTTCTCAAGTAAATATTGGCTCTAATTCTAAAATGCTGCAGAGTTGAGTTGGATCAAGTGCCACTTGAAGGCGCACCTAAAGCCATTCCTCCTGTCTGAAGACTTTCTGTACTCTCACAAGATCTTTAGTTTCGTCTTTGGTATATACCAGTGGCATAAAGCTGCATTGTGTTTTTATGCAATGATTATTGTAAGTGGGAGAATGCATTAAGGGGAAAAATTCAGGCAAACGTTTGTAAATCTCATCTGTACTGGGGTCATTAATATACACTGTATGATGATGATGAGCAAAAGACAATGAATGTTTTATAAATGATGTTTATTTTGATGCAATGGGTAATATATTTATTAAATATTTCCTGGCTATCTCTTAGATAATGAAGAACTATTCAATGAGTAGCTGTTTCAGTAAGAGAAGGATCCTCTCTCAGTGATGTGTGCAGCAGTGGTACAGGCAGCTTGGGGGCTGTGAGCCCCACTCTCAGGGAAAAAAAATAAAAGCCTCATCTTATATGCAGAAGGGCTGAAAGAGCTGCTCACCTTGTGGAATGTGTTTGAAAACAAGGTTCCTTTCATGGAAAGTGGAATTTTTTTGCCATATCACAAGATCTGATCCCACACGTTTTTCTCTGACCAGCTTTCACTCCCTTGGACTGGTGCTTGAACAAAGGAGTGCAGAATCGGGCCCGAGTGTTTGAATAGCAGCAGCTCAGACACCTGTAGAAGACTCCAGCCTTAGAGTTGGCACAACTGCCACAGGAATACTGCTTTCTAGTACTTAATAGTGTTTCAAATTCATTACTAATAGTACGTTTAGAAATTATAGCTTAAAAAGGGCTTTAGTTCTAAAGCCAGGTTCGCCATGTGCAGAGTCCTGACTGGTGTGAAATTTGGTTGCTGTTCTGACCACACCAGTTCAGTCTTCTGCTGTGGATCAAGACTCTGCTCTCTTTATGAGGGAAAGAATGGGCAAATGGTGTCCAACAAGCTGCACTATACTCTCTGAGGAAAGGTAATTGAGATATGTAAGACATTGTCAACTGGAAATGAACATGATCTAAAATCTGAAATTTTACAAAATTGTCAGCTAGAGAAGGCTGAATGAATCTTCTCTTTATTTTGCTGTCTGTTGAGCAAATGAATTATTGTGTGTACAGACAATGCTTTGGCTAAAACCATACACTGAGAGTTTCAATGCAATTTCCTTTCCGTGTAAAAACCAATATCGCTTCTGTTGCAAGCCCATTCACCACACGCATGGTGGCAAGCTGTGCTGTCACTGAGTTGTCCTTTCTGCTCCGCCTCAGACATGGCTTTGGGGAGCTTCATCAGGCAAAGTTCAACTGTGGGAGGCCTAAGAAAACTTGCACCAAAGGGAATTGTTAAAGAGGCAACGTTTTTCTCTCCTGGGTGTACAGGGTAGTGCAATTTGTACCTTCTTCTACATTAGCTGAATTTTTGGTGATGTCTTTAATGGCCAAACAGTGTTTGAAAGCCCTTTGTCCCAATGCCTGTGGTTGGTAACCTCCAAGAGGAGTGGAGAACCAGAAAAAAGGCAAAGATAGTTATAAACTGCAGTATCTGCTTTGGAGTTGCACCTTTTGGATACTGCTTACTGAAGAAGAGAAAACACCTTTTTGAGCATGTGGTGTGCATGCTGTAGCTAATATAACATTATCTGAACCCATTTTGGCATGTCTGCTATTCCTAAAGATGGGATCTCTGCTCACTTCCTTTTTTAGGTCTGCAGTATTCTTTTGCACAAATCTCAACAAGGAGCAATATCATGCTGAGAGGGAGAAGTGAATAGATGCAGCAAAGCTGGTCGATGGTATTTCTTTCCTTGCACTTCCCATCCGCTCTCCTGCCCTCTCCCCAAGAGATACTCAGTAAATTGAAAATATAGCAAAAATACCTGTAATTATTTTTTCAGCTTTTTTTTTAACTACAAATACTGCAAGCCTTTGTTACAGAGAAATCCAAATATGGAAATGCAGTGGATACACAGCTCAGATCTCTTTGTCCTGCCAAAGTAATATGAAGTTTCTTTTCCATTTCTCAACTCCCCATGCTCAAAATCACATTTCAAAAGGGGAAATTATTTCTTTTATTATGTTGCTGGCCAGAAGAGGGAGCAGAATCTATGAAATAGTGGGAATAGACAACGAGGGACAGAAGACAGCTGAAGCTGGTCTGGCTGATGGTGTGATACTTATCAACAGACGTTATACAATTCATCCATCACACTGGCTGTGCTGCTCAAGCACAAGAAAATCACTGACTCATCCTTGAAGTGTAGATGTGCATTGGAACAGATTCTGAGTACATGAATGAAAAAAACAGCATGGGACTCAAGCCCTTTTATAAGTAAGCTCCTTTTTGGACCACAGACTCCCTCTTACATGTATTTGTCAGAGGGGCATTTCTGAAAATCCTTTTTTTTTTTGTGGGTTGAAAAGCTGGAAATTCCCCATAAAGAACAGATCCAGTCTTCCTGCTTGTTATCTCCATGTAGATGAGAGGTTGGTCTGTTTACTGCATTTATAAAATACGTATGTTGATTTTTAACAACTCAGTGTTTAACCTCAAATATTATTTCAGCTGATCACATAGTATGAAACCTCCTCCTTCATAAACTCTTATCTTTGCTTCAGAAGCACATCTGAAGCTTTGAGGAAGTTGAGTGACTGAACTTCACCCTTGTCAGTCATTCAGAGGCTGGGCAGCAGGACAGCAGGTATCCATAGCGTGTAATTTGTTCTCTCACATAGCAACCATGTGCTATAAAGGCGTATATTCCCCTAGAGCAGGGTCCTCTTGTCAGCGTTCAGCTATATTATGTGATTAGATTTCCAAATATTTGTTCTTGTTTCTTTGCAGTGTCAGACCCATTGTAAACTGAGGATGTTCCAGCTGTTCATAACTGTGAGGGAGGAGAATCAACATATTGTCCCTGCTACACTCATCACCTGCCTGTTGCTTGATGACTGCAGCCTTGAAAAGTACCACTGTCTTGGTTAATATACATTACTGCTTAGTGTATGATGCTGTTGGGAATTAGAAACGGTTTACCCAGACCTAATTTTGCACATCAGCCTGATGCAGAGCATGGGACTTTATATTTGCCTGTGTGCCAACATTTTGACAAAACTAGGGTTTGTTTAAACTATGAGTGCTGTCAACCCCCTCTCTGGAACTGAGAAATCTGAAATTGCACTGTGGACCTTTATCTGATAAGACTGCTTTCCTACTAACAACTTTCTGCACCATTTTTAGGGAAGACCTTAGGGAGAATCTCCATCCCATGGAGCATTGTTAAATCAGTGAAAAAAAACACTGCTTTCCAGAATGTGAGAATTTTATTACTGGAGAAAAATGAGTGAAAATGCTCCTAGGACAGCAGAGCTCGAGTGAGTGGGCAGGAGAGACCTCAGGTGAGTAAGAAAAGTAGAGGTCTGGTTGACAACTCATTGGTGGAAGTGGGAAATGGCAGGAGGGCCATAGAAGAACGAAAGGGATAATGTAAG